AAAAAAAAAAAAAAAAAAAAAAGGTCACACCGTGCCTACAAACAAAGAAGTACAAACTTTCGTAAATCTTCCCCATTTTCAGATCACGATTGAACTTTATGGTTTCGAATATGGGCTTCTCCCAGTAACAGCTTCCATTGCGAACGGTGGTCTGGGCCAATTCTAACTCGGCTTCCCAGATTCCACAAGAATAACAGAAAGCATAAGTCCATCTCCTCCAACCTGCATAACCTGCACTATACTCTTTCATTTAAATCTTTTTCAACGAAAATAGCCCCAAATAATTAGCATTGGCATTGATAAATCGACAGAAAGAATGTCTCACAATATGCTCTCACTTAGGGTATCATGTCTTGCCCTGTTTCATCGCTCGTGAAGCCTCAGCCTGCGCACAACCGCTCGTGCACAACTGGGCGTCGGCCGGCCGCAAAGAACCGCCGCCGCCTGTCAGCGATTTTTTCCATAAACGACATCAATTGTTCGGTCAATCCCACTTACTTTAAGCATAGTATGCCGCGTTATTTCAATCATGATGATTTTTGACTCTGTGAGTTATAGTCTCAACATTTTTAAAGAAGAACGGCATTGCAAATTAGTGTAAGTGAAATAGGAAAAGAAATAAGGACAAAAATTTGAAGTCCTTTTGTATACTGCCTCATTTCATTCGAAATATTTAGCCCAAACAAAAATGACAATGATGTCAAATGAATGCACCAGACTCAATCCAATGAAAATATTGGATTGAATCTTGCTATTGATTAATTTCATAAATACACCTAGAATTCAGAATCAATCTCCATATACCAATTTTTTTAACATCCAAAGTTTAGTATGCTTTTCTCAGCATCAAGCTAGAAAAAAACACGAACTCGTTAAAACTAAAATTGAACGTTCTGTAATAGTCCCGACACATATTTTCCAATACATAAAAAGGTTTTGGGCAGGCATTAGATTCTGGATATGCTATAAACAACACAATAGAATTATAAATGGGTTAGTTTATACCACATTGATTAACTCTTATATTATGTAAAAGAGATGTTCACAAGCATGGATTCGCACAATGCCCAAACACCAAAAGAATCGCAAAAATCAACTATACCTGCTTACACTTCCGAACACACAGATCAATGCATCTGTTTTCACCCATGTTTAGTTCGGAATTTTGTATCTGTAAAAACAGGAAAATACACTTCCCTTTCATCACGTGCTTAAAATGATTCAAATGATAGACATTCATTAATGCTACAAACTGCAACATCTCAAAAACCAAGCGATACACAATATCAACTTCAAGAAACAATATGAATTCTGCATTCGGTAACACATACTTGTGCTCGACACATTTGTTGAAACACGTGTGCGTAAGCCTGAAGCAGAACAAAGGTATCATTAGCACCACCATAAGAAAACACTTCAATAAAAAGGTGAGGTAAGTTGCAAAAATAATGTTTTTTATTCAGTCCGACGACAACAAGCAATTACAATCAGGAGAGGCCAAATTTTTCCAGCTCTAGCACTCATAAATATTACAACCCACAAACCAAAACAATGAATTTAACGATAACACAGGTGGATAAAACATGCCATCAATACCAAAGGCGCTTTTTTTTTTTACCCCTAAGGAGAATTTTCACAAAGACATAGAGCGCCTTACTCGTTAAACATATCAACCATATACTCCATTTCCTTTTCCATCATCCCCAAAAGCTAAAAACATACAAAAGAAACGAACAAAACCTTAAAATCCCCAATATCAGAAATCCCTATTGCATAAAACTGCAAACCATTTTTTTATTTTTATCTGGAAGTGTACTGGTAAGAAAATACCTCTGCTCTCTCAAAACCCGAGGGTGCATTGGCTTTATCCATTGTATCTTCAATTGGAGCTACAGAAAATCAAACACAAATACTTCGAGATGTTAATTCAGTGGTAAAGAAAACGGCAACGGTGTGTGTAGAACCTAGAACGAGAATATACAAAATTATACAGCGACAGGAGGCAAAATAAAAATAAAATAAAAAAATAAAATAAAATAAAAAAATAGGAGAAAGAACAAACCTGCGTCGCGTTGATGGCCTTCTTGTCGCTGGACGCCATCAGCCAAATTCAGGTACAAAATCGAAGAATGAAAGAAAATGAGTAATAATTGGGTATGGTTAGTGAAGTGCTGAAGATATTACCTGCTCACGTCTCCATCTCTGACCTTTCTTGTACGGGAGTTCCTGAAAAAATAAAAACTGGCATACGTCTTTCTTAATCGAAAAAAAGGAAAAAATAAGGACATGAATTTGAAGGAAAATTGAAGGGGGAATAAAAAATGATAGAAAATGGATGCTTACACATCGTCTCGTACCAGGCCCTCACAGTCTTCTTCGACGGACGGCGCGTTGTCGGGTCTAAAGTCCGGCGCCTTGTGAAATGTCCACCGGCAATTTTTCACATCTACTCTCTCTTGAGCCGGAGAGAGCCAAAAATATATTAAACCACAAAGAGTACAAAAACTCTTAAGAGGAAACAGTCCAAACGGCCTTAAGAGGAAGATGTTAAAGTGAAAAATGGCTGCCACGTGTCGCCTTTTGAAGGCCATACATATTTCCTTATATGTAAGGGAGAGATAACAACACAGAATAATTGAAAGACAAACACAGGACTATTTCACCGATATTTTTTTCCCATAATAGCATTAACCTCTGGTTCTTACATAATCCACGTTATTACATGCATCCAAAAAATGAGCAAATAGATTCAATCAATGAGATGGATTTCATAGAACATGTAATGGTCAAGACATCTCCTTTGGCATACTTGTCAAACAACTGCACTTCAAACCAGTAGGCATAAGCAGGCATTGTTCACAACATTCTCCATTAGATACATTATTATTTACCCATTTCGACTAAAAACGCGTTTAAGCACTTAAATATAATCACAAAAACAGGTCAAATTTAACAGTTAACAATCAAACCAGTTAACACTCCGACTCTCCATAAAAACATCTTCTGTATTGTCAGGGTGAGTCGATTAAGCTACACTTGCCTTAGACAATGACTTTTTCCATTCATTAAGTAAAATGAAAGTAAAGTTACAGTTGAGCACACGTACATTAATGGAGTCCCAACATTATTTCCAAATCCGAAATTATTAGGGTCTGTAAAACAAAATTCAGAGAAGTTCAAAAGATCCTTAAACCAAAAATTCGATGTGATATCATTACCTCTTCAGCTGAAGCCACTATAGAATCATGTGTGATTGTGTTAAATACTGGACCATATAAGTGCCTATGAACCATAACTCCTAACAATCAAGAAAAATTACTACCTAAGGTACTAGCATTATGTATTTATGAAGCAAACCAAAAAGGATATCCAAAAGCCACAAATGGATACACTCCACATGGCCCATCAATATAACCAGATCAATGAAAGAAACAATGCCATTGATAATAATGTGGATCAGCAAGATAACAATAACTAAAAGCAAAAGAAAAAACCTTACCCTTGCTTGCACTGACAAGGAAGAACCCATCGGGCGTTACTGGACTATAGAACACATCAACAACCGGACTAGAACCCATCTAAGAGAAAAACGATTCGATATGAAGGCCAACACACTTTTTTCTTTCAGTTGGAAAAATTTCCAATATACAGTAATGTTAGCATGAGACATCTAGCATGTTATACGTTACTTGACAAGTACACCATATAGGGAGGGTGCTGTACTAGTAGTCTTTTTCTCTATGATTTTGTTGTGATTACAATATACTTTCAAAGTCAGCCATACCTGCATAGGAAATTGGCAAACATACTAATAATGTAGGTAGATACTCATATACAAAGAAAAGGAAAGGACATTCATTCATAAACAAACTAAAAGGATAAACAGGGTTAGTTAATGGTAAGATACTACCCATCACAAAATAAACCATAATTCCTACACATAGTAACAAAAGCCTGGAAACTAGCAAATCATAAACACAAACCAAAATACCCAATCACAAAATAAGCCTAATAATAAACTACATGTTATGATAATATTAGAAGGCAGCAACCGGCATCTGCATGCACACCATCAATGTCCCCAGGACTACTTCATCATCTTCTGAAGAAGCTTTGCCTTTTGAGTTTTCAACTCAAAAAGCCTCGCGTACACCTCAGTCTCTTCACTCTCCAGCTTCTTCAATTCTTCTTCGTCGTCCTTAGTCCCCATCTCCCCCTCCCTAAGCATGACGTCCCCAACAGCTCGAACATCCCCTAAACCACTCAACAACCTCCTTTCCCATATCCCAACAGACCTCCTCTCACTAGCCAATGAATCCTTAATATTATTGGCTTTTTCAACCCTGTTATCTTTCTCGGCCCCACTGCCATTGGCGTTCTCTTTCTCGGCCCCACTGCCATTGGGGTTTTCATTCTCAGCTCTACTTCCATTGGCGTTTTCTTTCTTCGCCCCACTGCCACTGGTTTTTTGGACCTCGTCTTTCTCAGTGCCCCACACTTTCTCGGACAGATCATAGGCTTCCTGCTCATGCCGGCTCGTAAAGGTTGTTCCTTTACCTTCATTCCCCTTGTGCTTATTGTTTGTGTACTTCTTTTTCAGCCTAAAAATCTTATCCTTCAGCTGGGCCCTCGTCGCGTCAAAGTGCAAATTCTTCTTGATCAACTCAAAAAACGCGTCAAAATTATCCCTCGGGTCGGATTTCTTCTCGGCCCTAAACTGCAGCATTCCGTTGAGGATGGCGATTTCGTCGGCCTCGCTCCATATCCTCTGGAACGGTTGTTTCTTCTCGGATGCGGGTTCAGCCTTCTTAATATTCTTCGACTTCTTTTTACCAGTGGGCTCCGTCCCATTATCCTCCTGGACGGCCCGCTTCCTAGTAGATCGGGAAGCTGAAGCGGGGGCGGGGGCGGAGGCGGCGGTG